GGGAAGCCAACGTTGGAGTGGAGATATGACAGTGAACAGATTTTTTCCAACACCCTGCACACAAGAATCAGCAGCATCCCTCACATCAATGGCTGTGAATAAGTCAAAGGCTTCTTTGGAGTAATTCTTTGGTTCATCAGCAGCTTCAGCAACATCGAGACCATGTCGAAGTCGCGTGATTCTAGGAAAGGAAGAAAAAAAGTGTTCTTCGACATGATATGATACCAGACTGCCTTTAATATCTACAGGAAATATACATCACAATTATTTAAATAAGAAAAAGGTTTATTAGCTATACTGCAGTAAGCTGACAAAACATTTTTCATTTTGGCGCCAACATTTCTTTATTTGCTAAATTGAAAGCCTGATCAGTTATCCTACTTGTGTGAAAAACTCAAATGTGTCACGACGTGGTGGAATCAGGCTCTCGTCAATTTTTGAGCATGTAGAGTTATGGTATCAGCTTAAAGCTTGTTCATTTGCCATCTTTTTGGCGAAAAAAATATTCATCTAGGTTGATTTGAAGTCGAGATATTTGCAATTGAAGGAGGTGGGGTCACCTGTTTTCAGATGTAAAATTAGGGAGAAAATGGTCGACAAAAGTTTTTTTTTTTTACTTAGCTAAAGGGTCGGTTGTAACTGAAAATTTACGTTTTTTCTGCCTTCAATAAATGTTTTTCTGTCAAATCAACACAGAAATGAGTTCTTTAAAGGGCATGAAAGGTGTTGAGCAAAAAACAAAAAATTCGATAAAAATTCACAAACCTGCGGAAAAATGCCAGTTTCTTCACTTTGACTATTTTGACAAGAGCCTGATTCCACCACGCTGCCTCACAAATTGAAACTGTGTCTAGTTTTTGAATAAATTAGAACTCAAATTTCGGAATGACTCTATTTATAAATCATTACGATGACACAGAAACTCTTTTTCTCGAAACGGCTCTGAAGAAAAAAAGGCGTTTTGTCAGCTTATGGCAGTATAAGTATTGAGTTGAAGCAGACGGAAAGTCAGAGGATTAACAGCCATAGCTTGCTGGGAAAAAGGTAGCACAATGATAATATCTTTTCTTTCTTCTGCAGCTACTTCAAGCCACAGAGCTAGGAAATGTTTCAGACGTATGTCTTACTACAGCCTTTGCAGGCCTTGCCTTTCAGGTAGCCAAATGACATTTTTGAGGGCACTATCATTTATCAGCATGGTGCAGTTTGGTCATTTTTGGGTGACAGATCACTTAAGGAATATTACCTGGGCAGCAAGGCGTAAATATATGGAATAACATCAAGAGGCTAGCCCACGATAGAGAAAGATGGAAAGTGTTTGTCCGTGGCCTATACCCTGGTGCACGGTGAGAAAGGCAATGATGATGATGATGATGATGATGATGATGATGATGATGAAGGCGTAAATACTTTCAACTACATGTCTTTGCTCTCATCTGAGAACACTAGGTACTCCATCCAACCTACCCTTAGACCAGGGGTATAAAAGACCTGAAAAGAAAGAAAAACCCTCAAGGTACGCCAACAGGCATGTGTGCGAGAAAGGGATTTAAACCAGGCTCTTTGGCACAAGGGGCCTGTCAGACTAAGGATAATAACATTGAAAAGAAAAGCGAGGAGCTAACAAAACGTGAACATCAATCAACACCCAAAGAAGATGAGAAATAGATTCATTGAGGAAAGCTTTTTTAGTTTTAGTAAGAGTTTCAGGGCCCATGCAACACAATAAGGTCACATAAGTGCCGAAGATTAAAGTTGTTACAAGAGAGTAATAAACACAAAATACAAGGAGGGAGAAAAGGATGACAGATGCTTGATAGGAAAGAAGGAGTAAACCACACCAGAGCACCCGCCAACCACCCACACATCATTGAGGGAAAACATCTGAAAGTCATCTAGACAGCAGAAAGCTGAGAAACGTTGGTGTTTGTCATGTCTTACTTGAGACGACAGTTGTCGCAACAGTTCTCTGTTCCTCCGATTTCTTCCAAGTTGCCAGTTTCAAAGTAGGACAGCAAGATCCTGCACATCAACGACAAAAAAAAAAAAGGTTACTTTTACTCAGCAGGAAAACAAAGGCGATTCTCATTTAAAAGAACATTAAAACAATCAATTCAAAATTATCCAAATACATGAATATTATAAGAATTTCGTTTGGTCTGAGTCAAAACAGAAAAATAATGGTGAGTTGAAAAGAGCATAATTATGACTTAAGAAATGCATAATTGTTCTTTGAGGTTAAACTCTCTTCAGGCCAAGGGCTAGAACTCAAAAGGGCACTGAATCGGAAAAGAAAAGAAAAGTAAAAGTAAAGTAAGTATGTTAAACTCACATCTCAACATTTTGACTTCACCCCAGTACAGGAAAACATGGAAAGTAGAGGGGGAGGAGAGAAGACAAAAATGGAAACAGGAATAGAGATGGAACCCTGACACTGCTTGTTTGTTTTAGTCAGGTTTTACGGTGCTCGCTACTGCCTAAGGTCATATGAACGCCAAGGGGTGGATGTCAACAGAGAAGTCAAAACGGGGAATCAGGCTTACTCTGCTCATTTCTCTAGCCTCAACAGCACAAAGTCTCCTTCGACTATCAAGGCACCCCGGAAATAGCAGTTCACAAGAGAGTGACAGACATACAAAGGAAGTAGAGGGAAAATGACGATAGTAAGGATGAGGAAAGAAAAAGCAGCGGTTCCCCCTATGTTGTTCCGGCACAGTATGAGCATGACATCGATAAATCAGCCAATTTACAATTCGACTGTGCATAAGGACGTGTCAATATCCCCCCTTTCGGGAATGACCCATAGACAACTTCAGTAGCACTACAGGGGGGGTTTACACTGACTGCACACAGACAGAAAGGAAGACCATAGGTAAGACACACAAAGAAGTGAAGACAGATGCAAAGACAGATGTTGTTGTTGTTTTTAAATCCCTTTAGCTGCGAGCATTTCGCTCTTGTCAGCGCAATGCCTCCCTTAAGTAACCACATGTCCTTGTCATCTGGTCAACGCCAGAGTAGAGCAGGCTTTGTAAGTCCGTAGGAGCCTGCGTGGAAGAACTGCCAGGTTTGTACAGTGAAGGAGAAGATGTTCAACGGTCTCCTCGTGGTAGTCAATGTCTGCAATGGGGTTCCCACAAGGGGTTAATTCTGTTTATGTGCTTGTTGGTGTGTAAGTGGCAAAGACAGATGTGAAGACAGATACAAAGACAGACGCAAAGACAGAAGAAGTTAAAAAGGCAAAACAGCAGGCTACAGCCGTACATTACATAAAGAGAGGGAAGGGGAACTAATTCACAACTGTTCTTCAACAAAACTCCCAATGACAAACCTTCTTCTGCATTGAGAGGTGCTTAAGTACTGCTCCATCTTGGCAAACATTTTCATCTTGTGGTCCCTAAACTTTTCATTTTCCGTGGAATGAATACGATGTCTGAAATGAAAGCAGAACAATCAAGAGAGTCTCAATGCTAAAGGCATATGGTAACATTCCTACTGATCACTCTTGCCTCTATAACAATGCCTAAAAGTTGGTTTGGTAACAGTAATTATGTAAAATCATTATCTTCAAACCCACGTCCCTTCCAGACATCCCAAATAATTCCCGGACAAAGTTCACACTAGAATAATCATTTTGAGCCTTCTTCCTGAGCTAAAATGATTCTTCACGATGAAGTAATAACCCACACATCACCACCCCCCCCTCCCCTCCTCCATTTCTCTGGAGAATACAAAAACAGCAACAAAAAAAAGCCCCATAAACTAACAAACATAAACAAAAAACTAACCAGCCAAACAAATATCAGAACCATAAAAAGCTTCCAAATTATTAAAATATTCACCACGGTCCACAGGGATTAACTCTTTAAGCCCTGAGTTTTTTCCACCGTTTCCCGGAGTATTTTCTACAGTCACCAAAACCTGGTGCACTATGTCTCATTATAACCCCAAGAGCTTGACTCCAACTTCTAAATAGCGGAAACAAAGGCTTAGTCATTACTAAAAAAACTTAGTTCAGGAATAGTTTCGAAAAACAAGCAAAAACTAGCACTAAATAAAACGAAACAGTTGTCACTAGTATCTCTGAGCGTCCGTTGGGGAACAGGGTTATGACCACCGAATGCTCCCAGCGTCCGATGGGGTTCAAAGAGTTAATGTATTATAGAACACAAGCATCAGTTCTTCTACCTTGAGATGTTGAAATCTGCCTTTGAATATAGCACTGTACAGAAACTTGGCTGGCCATCTCTACCGCCTCGTCCAATCTCTTGGTAATACGATTCTATGTCCTTGGGTGCTTGAAAGAAAAAGAAGAACAGAGCAATAACTATACAACAATCACACAGCTGCCATCATCATCATCATCATCATCATTATCATTGTAACAGCAAGGAATAAAAAAGGGTTGAGACTTGTAAAATGTCCAAATTTTATAAATTTTATCCCCATCATCATCATTGTAAACAGCAAGGAATAAAAAAGGGTTGAGACTTGTACAATTTCCAACTTTTATACATTTTATCATCATCATTATCATCATCGTCATCATTGTAAACAGCAAAGAATAAAAAAGGGTTGAGACTTGTACAATTTCCAACTTTTATACATTTTATCATCATCGTCATCATTGTAAACAGCAAAGAATAAAAAAGGGTTGAGACTTGTAGAATTCAAATTTTTAATAAATTTTATCATCATCATCATCACTATCTTTCTCACCCTGCATTAGGGTATAGGACACCAACACTTTCCACTTTTTCCTATCCTGGGCTGGTCTATTGATATTATTCCATGTCGTACATAGCTCCCAACCAGAGTGTAAAAAAACAAAAAAAATAAAATAAATAAAAACAAACAAAACATTTGATACCTTTTTGAGGGTGTAAGTTCTTAGGTCCGTTTTCGTGTCAGAAAATATGTCTTCTCCGTTTTCTATTATTACTCCTCACTCACAGACTAGCCAATGTTGAAGAAACATAACTAACTTTCAAGACTAATTTTACTAATAGTAATGTGAACGAAGCCCACAAGTCAATTGGAGACACCTGTTGTTGTTAGCGATCCAGTAGCATCTGAGCGTTAACTCTTCTGCATGATGCCATTCGGTAATAGTTGCATGTTTCTTCTAATTGTTGTCTTGAGGAGTAGAGGCAATTAGGTGTGTGGGGTAGCTTGGGAAGAAAACATCCCCTTAAATCAGTTAGTTTTCTACAGAAGAACAGATGATGTTCCACTGTCTCTGACACTTTAACTAAACATTTCTGACATTATTGTTACAGATTTGCTCTGAATAGTTTGAACTTATTGACTTATTGAACGCAGAAATATGTGTGGGAAGGATTTGGCGGGGGAGGGGGGGCACTTGTCCAGTGCCCACTATCTTCACTTGCCGCATAAGTAGAATCTGCTGTTTGGTTTTGAAAAGTTGACAGCTACGCAAACATTTCTTCACAGCCATCATATACATCTTCAACAGGGCAATCAATTTCTCCAACAAACAAAGAGAGCCTGACGTAATATCTGTAGGCTTACGTTCATAAGAAACAGAAAAGAAAAAAGTTTTGAGCTGTGACAACTATATTAGTTCGGGTAATTTTAAAAATTCATTTTGAGTACTTACTGTCACTCGGGTAAAAAGGTACTGGTTAAACAAAACCTTGTACATGCTCTTGAATCTATTCCCTGCTGCATTGAATCTATTCCCTGCTGCATTGAATCTATTCCCTGCTGCTTTATTCTCCCACAGAAATGTGTACAGTAATGTAGACTGTGGTTTATAATTCGCTGAGATTACCAGACAAGCCAGAATCACGTGAAATAAGTAAACATACTCAGTGTAGCCTAGTGAGTGTAGAAGAATAAGGCAGCACGGGGGGGGTATATAAACAGACGGCGAAGGTTTAACTGGCCTTCTGAGCCATGACTAAAACCTAGATCTAGTCTGAGCAGGGATCGACGCTACTGGTGGGTCGACACAGTGGACGGAGCTCCGGACCTGTACGACTCACACTCATCGTTCCCCGCTCGAAACAGTGAGTATTTGAAACCAACGTAGATAGACTAACGAGTAGAATCTAGGATAAGATAGCACTTATATCATCTCATTACATAGACATTCCTAGATTTCAATCCTATTCCGTTTTCTTCAAAACATGAGAAAAACTTTTTACATAAGAGATATGCGGAACCTTGTGTGTCACCTTACCTCCATAGTGAATCACTTTTCTCACATCTGGCTTGTCTATGCCCATCCCAAAAGCAATTGTAGCCACAACTGCCTGGTGAGAGAAGTCAGGTTGAATCAGTTCTTTAAAAAAAAAGTCATTAATTAAAAAACTGTAACAAGCATTATTTATTGTAGCTGAGAGTGCTTTTTCCTCTCTGCACAGTCAGACTTGCTGTTTTATCTTTTTATAACAAACAAGACAATCTTGACCAAGGTACTCAAGGGTCAACCATGTAACAAAAAGTCTGGAGAATTCTATTCGGATCACTGTAAATGTAATGCACCTTTAGCCGGGCGGGAGCCATAAATGGATCCAAAGATGTCTTATAAAAGGTAGTTTTATTGACTTACTCCAAAGATGTCTTATAAAAGGTAGTTTTATTGACTTACTATGGGGAACAGTTTCATGCATTTAAAAGGACAAATTAAAACAGACTCAAAAACACAAACTATTTCCCAACACTATCCAAAACATAAAAGTAGTGTTACTGATCCACCGTGCAATTTGGGAAATCTGAAATTCATAAAAAAAGATTTTGAATCTCTTACCAGTCAGCAAAATGTATTACGCTCTTACTTAAATGAAGGACAGGAAAGACTGTAAACCATCTATCTAAGTCAACATTAAATCAATAAATAGGAATAAACAAGGAAAGGGATACTTCAAATAAAGAACAGAATCTTCGGTACCTGAACTCGATCATTGAGAAACTTGTGATGTGCTTCCTTGCGAGTGGACAGAGACATGGCAGCGTGGTAGGACAAGCAGGATACACCCATTGCTGTGTGTTAACAGAGAGAGAAACATGGGTGGTTGGTGGGTGCTCTGCTGTGGTTTGCTCCTTCTTTCCTATCAAACATCTATCATGCAACATGGGTGGTTGGTGGGTGCTCTGCTGTGGTTTGCTCCTTCTTTCCTATCAAACATCTATCAACCTGATATCTCTCTTCCTTCTTTTTTGTGTTTGTTACTCTCTTGTAACACCTCTAATCTTCGGCACTTATATGACCTTATTGTGTTGCAAGTGCAGTAAAACTCTTTCTAAAACTAAAAGCTAAAGAGAAAGAAACAAAAGTTACATCCATTATAAAAAAAGTTACATTCACTACAAAAGCTGTCTCATGCATGACACAAAAGGCAAAAATACACACTTGCATTCTTAAGAATTCCAAGTCTAAATTTAAATAAATCAAGTACAGGCGAAGCTGCTCCAATTGTCATCTGTCCGAGCCCATTACCCGTACAAACAACCATTTCCCATCTCTCTCCCTTTTTAACTCCCAGTGGAGCATAGGCCATCAACAACATTTCTCCAGCGAAGCCTGTTCTGTGCATCCTTTTCTAGCTGTTTCCATGATGTCCCCGCCTTTTCCATTTCCGCTTGTACCGCTCGCCTCCATGTCATCTTTGGTCTTCCTTTCTTACGTTTTCCTTGTGGATTCAATGTCAAAGCCTGCCCGATGATACTTGTCGGGGGTCTCCTGAGGGTGTGCCCAATCCATTTCCATTTCTTCACCTGTATGTCTTCCTTTACTGGCCTTTGGCTTGTTCTTTCCCATTTCGCCTACTTGCGTTAAAAAAATATAATAATGACACTGACCAAGACACCAACTTGTCCAAGACAACCACTTCTCTCCGCGACAATGGGTGGCCATCTGGGACAATGTCGACTGTAGTGACACACCATTCCTTCAGGTTGTCTTTACTTGGAAAGTCATTCAGGAGTGTCCTTGAATTCCTTGTTCATTGTTTCAGGAAGCAACATCCCTGCATTCCGGACACGTCCATTGATGATCCGTTGCTCTCTCCAAAATGTCGCCGAGAGTCTTTCCACTGATTGTGCCAGTGCACACCTGGTTGAAAATTCTTCTGTTCTTTCCTGCAAGGATGCAAGGAAGCAGAGGATTCCCTCAGAAAAATCTATGTACCTGAAAATCTAAAACTAGTCGAAGAATGGGAACAGGTGGCAGGAGCATACAGGGACCTCACACAGGTAAAATAAGCATGGGCAGAGACAGAAGAAATGTTGTGGTGGCTTCCATCAACGAGAGTGATATCAATGAGATGGTTGACAAAAACTCAAAAGCAGGGGATCCTATAATTTATACAGATGGTTCAATGAAAAAAGATAGCCAGCGAAGTGGATGGGGATTTGTTGTATTCACAAACAATAAAATCATCCACGGTGCATCTGGAGTCTGCAGCAGGGCTACATCAAGTATGCGAATGGAAATTGTAGCCATCACAAAAGCACTTGAATGGATGACCCAAGATCGCCCCACTCACACAACCCAGGCTGTTCTCATCATAGATTCCATGTGTACTCTCAGAAAGATCGAAAAAGATTTCCTGAGACCAGTATGGATTCAACTGATCGAAGCAACGCCAATAAGATCGCTCACATGGATTTTCTGCCCTGGCCATGCAGGCGTTAAAGGAAATGAAAAAGCTGACAGACTGGCTGGTGAGGCCACCTCAGATAACAGCAAGGTTCAACCAGACAAGGTCGAGATCCTCAAATGTCTCTCTCGCCAGCTGATTGAGGAGGAAGATAAGGAGGCAGAGGCCAGTACTGCTGAGGAGAGGATGATGCTTTTGGGAATGCAAAAAGGAAGAGTATCCTTCAACAAAATATGTAACTGCAGCTAAAAATTTTTTTTTCTTTTCATATGTAACTGAAGCTAAGACAGAGGGCACCAGTAACGTGTGCAAGGGTTTGAAATTAACCCTTTCAGACCCATGCACGTACATTTTCAGCAGCGTTTGTACCTCCCTCTGTCACAAGAGCACATATTCTCAGTTTCGGGAGGTACCGAATTTGCACATTTGTTTAATTTAGCAAACCTAATTAAAATTTAATTTTTATAATATTTGTTCATTTACTTTTAAACGTTGTTACATGTCATTATTTAAACCTCAATTCAAAGATTACACCACTTTTTAGAATGATTGCTTCTTTTTCTGAAATACTGCTGTATTGGTTGGGACTGGTGTTAGGGAGTGCACAAAATTGGCTGGGGCTGGAAGGGTTAACGTAGCGATATTCATTACGAAACAAAGCTTCACCAGAAAAGGCCAAAGACGGAAAGAGGAAGCGGTCACCATTAGAGATTCACATCTGGCTGACAATGGCAGAGGTCAAACCACTAAGCACACAGGTCTACCCTTCTCCCTCCGAGACCTAACATAGACAACACACTCTATGGAACATTACAGCAACTGCAGCAGACCTGCACTTATCACTACATGGCATTGGACAGAAGGGCGAGAGCCCAGCTGTTGCTGGATCGATAACAACAACAACAACAACAACAAGCACACAGGTCCAACTACACATCCGGCATATTCAAATAACTTAATTGAGAGAAGAAAAAGAAAAAGACAAAACTATAAAGCCATACGTGAAGCATCACGGTGAAATCAGGCACTCGTCAAAATAATGAAATGGAAGATATTGGCAGTTTTCCACCAGTTTGACCAATTTTTTTCAAATTTTTGTTTTTTTGTCTTAACACCTTTTATGTCCATTTATAAATATATTTCCGAGTGGATTTTACTGAAAAAAAGTCGATTTAATGACAACAAATATAAATATTCAGTTTCCAAGTACTCTCAAGCTTGGGAAATCCAATAAACTTTGACGGCCATTTCTCGCTAATTTTATCTCTGATAAAATCCCCACCTCCTTCAACCGCAAATATCTCGACTTCTATTCAAGATAGATATGCATTTTTTCAACGAAATATTGTCAAATGAATAAGATTTACGATGATACTAATAACTCCATGTGCCCCAAAATTGACGAGCGACACACATATGTGTCAAGACGTGGAGGAATCAGGCACTCGTCAATTTTTGGGCATGTAGAGTTATTGGTATTATCTGAAAGCTTATTTATTTGCTTTGCCTTCACTGAAAGAAATACCCATATATCTTTAATAAAAGTCAAGAGATTTGCAATTGAAGGAGGTGGGGATAGCCTGTTTTCAGAGGTTATATAAGCGAGAAAATAGCCGCCAAAGTTTGGTAGCTTCTACAGCCTCAAAGTCCTTGGAAACTGAAAATGTATGTATTTTGTGCCATTAATCTACATCTTTCAGTAAAATTCATATAGCAATGTGCTTTTATATGGACATAAAAATGTTGAGCCGAAAAACAAAATTTTGGTAAAAATTACCAGACTGTAAGAAACTTGCCTTTTTCTCCCATTTTATTATTTTGACGAGCGCCTGATTTCAGCACAATGCCTCACATAATTATAGTACTCAACAACACCTTGAGGAAGCCCTCACTCACCCTGGAGAACACTTGCCACTTCTCCAGTAGCCTTCTTCGTTTGGCAGTAAATTAATGTGGGCCCACTGAAGTCGTATCTCAAGCCCTTCTTTTCTAATTCTCCCCGGAAGTCATTGGCAATATCACCAGACTTCTGTTTGACAACTAAGAACAAGTTAGGTCTGAAACAAAACAAAAACAAAAAAACAAACAACATATTATTACAAAATGAGAACTGCTGCCATCTGCACTGTACCCCGCATCAACTCAGCTAATGACTCTTAGACAATTCATTATTCAGGCTCATATTTATGGGAGCCAAACATATCAACTGAAACACTGCAACGCCCCTGGAAAAAAAAAGAGGGAAAAAACTCCACTATCAAACATTAGGCATCAGAATAACATTGAGTGTGTATCTTGCTTAAGATTATTATTGTTTGTATTGCTGTTCATTTATATTATGCATGTGATTGTAAGCCTACGTGTGTGTGCATGTGTGTGTGTTTGTGCGTGTGTGTGTGCATGTGTGTGTGTTTGTGCGTGTGTGTGTGTGTGTGTGCGTGTGCGTGTGTGAGTGTGTGTGTGTGTGTGTGTGTGTGTGTACACGTGGTGAAACACCAAACCAATGTGCCAGGATCTGGACAATAAAGATATATCTTATCTTATCTTATCTAACTTTATAAAATCCTACTCACTTAATAGTTAGTCTGACAAATGTAAAGAAAAAACATACAGTGTAAGTGAGAAAGAAAAGGGTCGCGATTTGACATACACCTAATAATGTGGGTATATATTCTGTGTGTGTGCCTGGTGAAAGGAACCAAATGATGCATTTGGAAGAATCCCGTTTTTTGCATTTTCATGTACAGAGATCATTTCTGAACAATACGCTTTTTGAAGTTTTAAGACATCAGTAGTTTTCGAGATATGGATGATTTTGTAAGGCAGGGTACGGAAACAAAGCTTTGAGAAAAACGGCTTTAAAGTTTCCCCTTTGTTTCCGCTTAAAATAGATAGATCTACGCTTCGAGACGACCCGACAACACATTCGCTACTCCAAAACCAAATTTAAAAAGCAGCTAAGATAAAAAAACAACCCAGTTTCAATGTGTTTATATTACTCCTTCAAAACAAATTCACCATCACCTTGAACACCTTTTCTCACTAATTTTACCCCTGTAACAGGTGACCTTCATTCACAAATATCTCGACTTGTATTCAAGATAAATGGCTATTTTTTTCATCCATATAAAGACAAGTGAAGAAGCATTGAGATGATACCAATAACTCTACACGCCCCAAAATTGACGAGAGCCTGATTCCCCCACGCTGCCTCACATATATAAGACCATGATTCTGTTTATAACCTCAGCTTTGATGAAGGCGCTAACACTTAATTTGTCAGCAATATTTAATGGGTTGCGAAGTCACAGCATAACATACAGCAAAAATAGATCTCAATAAAGTGAATGAAAAAAGTACCCATTACAAAATCAAATAAAGTCTCTTAAATATTACATACAGTATGAATTACAACAGAAATGGGAGAGATCTCAAAGCTTAGAAGTTCAGATTGGTGCGAGTGTGTGGTAGATCAGAAAAAAAGGAATGTAATACGATTTCCACGAGTGAAGAAAGCAATAAAACAAGGGAGAAAATGTAGACAAAATGTGTCCTACTGACCTGTCAAAACTTGTACAGGTCATCTGCGGACTGACTAGCCCCAAACTTCGGCAGATATCTTTTTGGACCTCTACGGTGGCAGTGGCCGTAACCGCCAAGATGGGAATCTGAAAAGGAAAAGAAGTTATTGTGACTGCTGTCGCTCATTTGCATATCCAACTTTTACAGGGAGCATTGTAGGCATACTACTTTTAGCTGCTCTTGGACTCCTGCCTTTAGATAAAAGCTGGGATATGAGGGCTTGAAGAAGTTTTTATAAGTTGTCTCCTGTTGAAGTAAAGCAAGAGTATCTGTAAGGATGGGGTAGGAAGAAAAATTGAGGCTGGAAGTTCTGCTGGCCCAACACGTATTTAAAAAAAAAAAAAGTTAGCAATGCTTTTTAATTTTATGGACGTAAACATTATTTTTTTGAGTAATTAAAATAACAACAACAACAACAACAATAATAATAATGATAATTTTTTTAAAATCATTCGTCCATTTGTGTCTGACAATCACTAATGAAGCTGTAGAGGAAAATGTTTCTCAAGCAAAACAGAAGAAATAAGGGTTAAGATGACAAGTGGCTTCTGCTATGGCCACTGAGACCAACTCTGACAGCAAAGAGCGTATCACAATAAGAATGTTTAAAAGATTCATTTCCACTCGTGAATGTGTGCAGTTTACACGCTTCTGATCTCTCTTGAATAATACAAAACTGAAGTAACAGTATAACTCTGTCCCCAGTGGAGCAACTTACAGAAGGAAACTGCTGTTTCAACGCTCCGAGATGGCGATATGAAGGCCTGAAGTCGTGACCCCACTGAGAGACGCAGTGCGCCTCGTCGATGGCGATGAGATCAACCCCTGGAGGTAAAGTGAACATCACAGTCATGAGCCACGATCACGCTTAACCCTTTGCTGCCTATTTTTACCACCCAGTTTCTCTGAATTTTCCACAAAAATATGATGGCAAAGTGTTAACCCTATCCGTACGCCCTCCCTGGGGTCATTTTGTACCCCCGGGGTTGTATTCTTCACATTTTAGAACACTTCTAGAGTGAAGATCTCTTTCAAACTTTCAGCCAGCATTTCTCAAAAAATCATTTGGACAGATTGCTATGCAAAGCGTACAGATCGGATTAACGAGGAAATTTCTTCTTTGGAAAGGGGTGGCACAGAGTTCCCCACGTCGCATGGATACGATAGTAAAACCCGATGTACGAATAGGGTTAAGTAATTTTTTTAAAAGGCAATCAAGAAGCACATTCAGTTGACAGTGAGTAGAGTATGAAACTGTATTTCATTATTATGACTATTCCCCGGACAGCATGTTAAACTATATCATAGAGTCTACATACCACTTCTCTCTTTGAGCCAATTAAAAAAGTGTCCTCACAATTCGGTGGCGCCCTCTTCGCAAAAGCGCACCTTTTGCGAACAGAGTTATCCTACTTGAGTTTAAAAAATCAAAGTGAAACTAGCAAGTTTTTGAATGAATTTCGGAAGAACGCTTTTTAAAATGGTTACGCTGACAAAAAACCTCTTCCGGAGAAAAGGGTACTTGTTTCTTCTGGAACGGACTACCTTTCCCCTCGACAGACGGGTGATGTAGAAACTTTTATATTATACTTATATTCCTCATTTCGTTTTTACAGCTAATCTCAACATTTTATACTACGCACTGTGTTTTTATTGGTAAAGAATTCGGAGGAAATTCCGGGCTGAAAATCGGATCTTTACCTTCATCTGCGCACATGAGTTTGCTTGAGTTAGATTCATAATTGGTCTTGTCTGCTTTATAAGTGAAACTGTGTATTTGTCTTCTTGGCAATATTGTTCTCAGCCTTCTGGGCAAAATCGGTTTTCTGGCCTTCTGGGCTCAGTCGATGAGTCATTATTAGCCTTCTGAGCAAAATTGATCATAGCCTTCTGGGCGAATTCTTTTAAAAATCTTTCTCCTGGGCATCTCTGTTCAAAACTTTCTTAGTTCCGTTATCTATTCCCCTTCTGGGTAAAATTGTTGGTCAGCCTTCTGGGCAATCAAATACCATCTGTACTGGATCCTTGGCAATCTTGATTTAGGTTTTCTTTCTAAGCTTCAGGTCCAAATTATGGACGAAGATCAGATATCCATTCAAGAAGAAGGGGAGATAGATATGACAGAAAACGTAAATGAAGACATGACAACAGAGAGAGATGCGATGAAAGATTTGATCAAACAAAATAGTAACATTATGGCAAGCGTAATGCAGCTCATTGCATCACAAAATAGAAAAAGAAAACGCTCTGCTTCCTCCTCTTCGTCATCATCGTCATCATCATCACCCCGTGCTACATCAAAAACGAAAAGAGCGCAAAACAAGTCCAGTGAATTAAAGAAAGGGAAAGCAGTGATGCGTACAAGTAGGGCACTCGGTCAGGAGGACCTTGGCCAAGACTGGTCGGGGGATGAGAGCATTTTAGATGCTATCGGCGAAATGGCATCCGGCTATAACACAGACCCCTCACAAGAAGGAGCGGCCCACACTGGGAAACATGATACCGGTGGGGCGGAGACTGAGGTGTCGGATGAAATGTACTCAGACAAAGATGACTGGTACCAAGAGGCAACGGAGGAATACGAAATTGATGAAGAGGTGGGCGAACCACTTGAGGAAAATTTGGTCAGATTCATTGAGAAGACAATGCCAGAGCCTATGAAAGAGGAAAAATTGAAAGACAACATTCAAAGGTACAAAAGACCAAGAAACTGTCTCGCACTCACAGTCAGGCGAACAAACAAACCGATATGCAATCTTTTGAATAATTTTCAAAGGAAAAGAGATATGAAATTAGTTTCTCAACAAAAGAACATCGCAAAGGCAGTAACAGCAATTGCTAAATCGGCTGAAATAGTTACACTGATGGCCAAGTCCACAAAAAATGAGAACAACATGCAAAATGCAAAACAAGCTGTCAAGGCCCTCACAGACGCCATGTCGATCCTGGGACATACCCAGCAAAAGATTACATGGCAGAGAAAAGAAAGTCAAAAACCGGCGATTCCATTTGAGTCGCAGGGTATCTGTGACATGGCTTCTGATGGCAACGACTTGCTGTTCGGAGAAGAGGTGGAAAAGAAGATGAAGGAGGCGCGAGAACAAAAGAGACTGACGTCATCATTTCACGCAAGCCAGGGGAAAAGGCGAGGCCATTTTTTAGGCCGAGGGAACCACCGCGTGAACCACCGCGGGGGCCCGCGGTGGAGAGGTCAGAAGAGGATGGGCCAAGCCAACTATGCTCCTCGCGGCTCGAACAAGACGACCAATTGGAGTCAGTCAAAAAGGGCGTAGTGCTGACACGAATAGATGGGCAACAGGTAAGAGTTGAAGATGGAGAAATGAAGCGATTGCTGGAACTTAAGACTAAAAGATTTACAGCTGGACAAATAAAGCATTGTCTGCCACAATGGCGGCGACTCACATCAGATAAAGCTGTTCTGGCTTTGGTACGAGGTACTGAAATAGACCTCACAGAACAGCAAGAAGTTATGGGCAGCAATAAGCCCGATTCAAGTTTTTCTATGAGCAGGGAAGAAACGATGATGGTAGACAGAGAAATAGAATCTCTTTTAGAAAAAAGGGTCATAGTTAAATCGAGTCATGAAGATGGTGAATTCATTTCTGGCATTTTTACTAGAGAGAAATCCGATGGTTCACATAGAGTGATACTAAATTTGAAAGAATTCAACAAAAATGTTGAATACAAAAAGTTCAAAATGGAGACACTGAAGAGTGCATTAAATCTAGTAACTCAGAATTGTTGGCTTGCCAGTGTAGATCTGGTTTCAGCATATTATAGTGTTCCCATTAGACCACAGGACAGGAAGTATTTAAAATTTTTATGGAAAGGACAGCTGTACGAGTATACATGCTATAGTAACGGATTAGCTCAGTGCCCGAGGTGTTTTACCAAGATCACAAAACCGATCTACGCATACCTTCATGGATTAGGTCATATAGCCACAGGATATTTGGATGATTCACTGCTTATAGCGGAAGACAAAACTGCATGCATTGAAAACATAGCTGATACAATTTCAATATTCGATGAATTGGGGTTCGTTGTCCACCCTGAAAAATCGGTCCTCTCACCCACTCAAGAGATTGTATATCTTGGCTTTGTAATAAATTCCAAAGAAATGACCGTGGCACTGACTGAAAAGAGGAAACAGGTAATTTTGAAAAATTGTGAAGAAATTTCCAGCAATCGCATTCAACCAATCAGAAATGTAGCCCGTTTAATTGGCCTATTTGTCGCAAGCTTTCCTGCTGTACCATATGGCCCTTTGTACTACAGAACTCTAGAGAGAGAAAAGGTGGTGGCATTGAAACGCAATGGCAATAATTGGAACAAATCCATGCCCCTCTCGTCGGAGGCATTGAAAGAAATTGATTGGTGGAAACATAATGTGACTATCGCTTTTAGTCCTATCACCAGGCATGATCCGCAGTTAATCATAAAAACGGACGCTAGTCTGAAAGCCTGGGGTGCTGTTTGCAATGAAGTTAGAACTGGGGGCGCCTGGTCAGCAGAAGAAGCAGGCTTACACATAAATGTCCTTGAAATGTTTGCAGCTTTTATGGGACTGAAATCATTTGCAAAACGAAAGAGTAACATACATGTCCAAATATTTACAGACAGCACTGCCACTATGGGTTGTCTGAACAAAATGGGGTCATCCAAATCCATGGAGCTCAACAGGCTGAGTAAAATAATATGGGATTGGTGCAGACAGAGAGGCATTTGGCTGTCATTAGCCAGAATAGCAGGCACAGACAATACTGAGGCTGATTATGAGAGCAGACATGTCAATCTAGATACGGAATGGAAACTCAATTCAGACCTCCTGATGCATGCACTGAGTGTGTTGCGATACTTTCCTGAGATTGATCTTTTTGCATCAAGATTAAATCATCAGTTCAGACATTACATGTCATTCAAGCCTGACCCAGATGCACTGGGAATAGATGCTTTCACGAGAAACTGGAGTAATAAAAAGTTTTATGCTTTCCCACCTTTTTGTTTGTTATCTAGAGTCCTTCAAAAAGTCATCCAGGACGAAGCAGTTGGAGTGATTGTGGCACCCTACTGGCCAGCTCAGCCATTCTTCCCATTGTTGATGAGACTTCTGGTCGACAGTCCAGTTCTTATCTCAGCAAGGAAAAACCTTCTACATCAACCCAGTCATCCAGACACTCACCACCCACTTCACAAGAAGCTAAGACTTCTTATATGCAAAGTGTCGGGGAGAGACTCAGAACCCAAGGCTTTTCACCAAAAGCTACCGAAATCATCATGGCCTCGTGGAGGCCAGATACCAAAAAGGTTTACTCCACATATATTTCCAAATGGGAAAGGTACGCTTCTACAGTCAAAGTGGATCCAGTTTCACCACCTATAGCAGTAGCCATCAATTTTCTGGCAGAATTACATGAAAATGGGGCATCACATTCGGCCGTATGCATTGCTAGGTCAGCACTATCATGCTATTTAAATATTCCAGACTTCGGTAACCTTGACTGTGTCAAAAGGTTTATAAAAGGGGCTTTTGAACAAAATCCATCTTTCCCAATGAAAAGCATGACTGGCTCATGGGATCCGCATCAGGTCTTAACTTTTGTGGAGCCTTGGGTTCCTCACGAGTCTCTCTCCTTGAAAGAATTAACTTTAAAACTCACCATGTTATTGGCCTTGTTATCGGGACAAAGAGCCCAAACTATTCATAGTTTAGATATCAAGAGTATGGAAATAAGCAAGAACAAATGTACATTCTATGTTTCCAAATTATTGAAACACTCCAGGAAAAGTCACCACCAAGAACCCTTGGAATTTTTAGGATTCAAAGATAATCCAAGCTTATGTATTGTCAGCATCCTGAAAGAATATCTGAAAAGAACACAGTCATTACGAACTCATATCAATGAGTCTCGTTTGCTCATCAGTCATCAGGCACCACACAAACCTGTTAGCAGAGACACAGTCAAAAGGTGGATAAAAACACTGATGGAAATGGCTGGTATTGATATTACAACCTTTACTGCTCACAGCACAAGAGCTGCTAGCACATCTGGTGCATTGAAATCAGGAGTGCCAATACAAACCATATTGAGCGCGGCTGGCTGGTCGCAAGAAAGTACTTTTGCTAAGTTCTATAAGAAAAATATAAGACAAAATTTCGGTCAAAGCCTTCTGGACTCTTATTTCGCCAAAACAGGCAACATTTGACTGCATGTAGTTTTGTACAGATATACTGAAAATGTAAATATACAGAGAATATATCTAGCATGATAGAAAATGCTCTGTTTTTACTGTTACATTGAAAGTTGCTTATAGCGTTACATTTTGTAATAGTATTTATCTCATATGAGTGATGGTATCAAGCTTCATTCTTTAAATAATCTTTGTTTTTACATTCATGTATGTACATGTATACCAAATACAAGAAGCTACAGAGAATATATAATGATCTTCATATTGATCACAAACAAGAACGCTTTGGAGGTTGTTCATTGTATTAGTCACAGTTGTGGCTCTAAAATCTCATGTTTCCAACGGAGGGCCTGACGGCAGTTGAGTTAAAATTAAAGAAACAATCGAGACTTACCTGTAAGTTGATGATTGTTTCTGATTTTGACGATCTGTCGTCAGGAACGGAGTGGTAACATGCCCTCCCAAACCCTCCCAATAACATGAAATTTATATTTCTTCGTTCCTGACGTTCGTGGTCTATGATATTGTATTCATATCATATATATTTCATTAATTTCACCTATGGTGCTCGCAAGTATTTGGTTTCCCAAATGAATAATTTAATTGTCACAACTGTGACTATCTAAAGTGTGATGGGTTACGCCGTGCTGCCTTCTCATGTTACCACTCCGTTCCTGACGACAGATCGTCAAAATCAGAAACAATCATCAACTTACAGGTAAGTCTCGATTGTTTCTTTAATTAAAATTTTTAAAAACTAAAACTCCGCACTGAACGAACCCGAACTGCTGATGAACAGCAGTCGATCTGCGCACGCAATGAGGTGCTATTCCTATTCTTCTTCTGGAAAAACGAAAGAGAGCTTCAAAACAGACTGCAGCGCCATCTGAAGCAAAGAGCAAACTTCCTGCGGACACTTTTTTGGCTGAGTGGCCCATCTTGTTATTTACTATCTTTTATAATGACTATATATCAGTTCTCTCATTTGTAACGAAAAAATGGGATTAAAAAAACAAAAACAAAACAAAACAAAACAAAAAATCAGGAAGTTATATACCTTTCAAGCTTTTCGAAGTCAAAGTAAATATTCTATCTTGACATCACACAGGTTACTCACTCAAAAACTGTGGTCCAAACCTGGTCAACTGGAACAACGAATTTGAACAAGGAGCTGTATTAAAGTAAAGAAAACCAACGGAGTCCAGCTTTCCCATTTTTGAAATATCTTTCCAAGTAACATCCTCTCTGTGGGTGGTTGGCGGGTGCTCTGGTGTGGTTTGCTTCTTCTTTCCTATCAAACATCTATCGTCCTTATCTCCCCTTCTTCTTTTTTATATTTGTTACTCTCTTGTAATAACTCTAATCTTCTGGCGCTCATATGACCTTATGCAGTTGCGAGCGCCGTAAAACCTCTACTAAAACTAAACTAAACATCCTCTCTGTGTTGACAAGGGACAACATTTCTAAAGTAACAGAGGAAAAAATAAAAAAGCAATACATACCCACGCGTTCATTGAGCCTTTTGAAGTCATCCATACCAGTGGAAGCATACTCAGGAGTCACGTAAACTAGTCTGTACTTGCCCTGAAACAACTCCTCTTTCACCTCAGCACTTCTCGTCTGAGCAGATCCCAGGAAACAAGCATCAATATTTGAAGCTCTGTACACAAAAAGAGAAATAAAAACAAAAAATGTTACTCCGAAATAGAAAAAGACTGGAGTACTCAGACCAGCTCATCAGTTCTTTATCATATTATCACCAAATGGTAGACATAGTCTTTACTATTTTTACTATTCCAGGGATGCAACTTAATGAATAGATTTGTTTTTTAAATTTTGTTTGGTGCCATATCTGTTGTCACTTTTTCTACATCAACTTGGCCTATACCACATATTTAATATTTGCATCATAAATATTTGAATTTGGGAGCAATATTGTAAACATTGTGGAGGTCAATCCTCAAATTGCTACCTCTCATTGACACCAGCAGAAATTTCAACTTCGAGAAAAAAAAGTCAAAGCAGAAATTACACAGCAGCACAGAATGAACATTTGACAACTACTATATCTGAAGCATGTAACGCTGTCTGAATAGGAAGACACAGTGGTCACTGAGTGAAGAAAGGTAAAATTAAGCTTGTTGCAGTGTTCTACCTCATAAAGAAAATTATGTATGGTCACTTGAAACCACTGGTCAAAGTTCCAATCGATGAACTGAGGAGGGGAGATCAATCCATAATCTTCAAACTTAAAATACAACATGTGCCCCTCAATCAACATCTCAACCGAATTGGAGTAAAGCAGTCTGCTGCCTGCCCACTATATGACTACCCCTCAGAGACAGTGGAACATCATCTGTTCTTTTGTAGAAAACTAACCGATTTCAGGGGATGTTTTCTTCCCAAGCTACCCCACACATCTAATTGCCTCTACTCCTCAAGCCAACAATTAGAACAGACATGCAACTATTACAGAATGGCATAATGCAAAAGAGTTAATGCTCAAATGCTACTGGATCGCTAACAACAACAACAACAAAAAGAAAATTACCTAAGATGCATTTAGATGCACTGGTTTGCCTCGATGTTAAAAAGAGCTCAAGAGACACTTGACTGGACTATCAAAAGGGTTGACTTTGGGTATTCCCTTTCCGTAAAGATTAACTGCTGCATCTGATCATTATAAACCGTGACAAAACTTAGGATAGCTTACTGCAAACCATGAACTTGATCTTCCATAAGAGATATCAAGGGGCTGATGATTATGGACGTCCTCTTGGTGAATACAGACGGGAACTGGAAAGTCAAGCTTTTGCCGTATCCTGAAACAAACAGCACAAATAAAATAGCAGTACAACTATAGAACAAGTTCTTAAATGATTCTTCAGTACAGTTGAAGCTTCAAAAAGCACAGTTCTTCATCAGTAAACAAAAGATTCATTTTGTAAAAGGAAAACTTAGATTGTAAAAGATTAAGTCGAGTGGAAAGTCTAATTGTGAAATTTAAAAAAACTTCTTTCAGTTTTGCAGTTTGACTAAAATTACTGTAAACACAGAAACAAATCGACACAAGCACATAAGGTCACAAGAGAAGCAAGCTGCTTCTATCCTGCCTGCCACAAGCAACCCAGCAGAGTGGGGAAACATCTACCTTGCTGAAAGACAGGGACACAAAATAAATTTTTGTTTTATTTTAGTAAGGATTTTACTGCACTTGCAACACAATTAGGTCATATAAGTGCCAAAGATATTAGAGATGTTCCAAAAGAGTAACAAACACAGAAAAGAGGGAGGAAAGTTAAGGATAGATTATGTTTGATAGGAAAGAAGAAGCAAACCATACCAGAACATCTGTCATCTACCCAAACGTCATGAAATAAAGTTTATCTTAGACAAACGTGAACAATAAATAACTATAAATAGCATTTGTACAGCGCATATCCCCACTCAACAACAAGCTCCATGTGCTCTACAATCTATATCATGAGAATCAACTCATCTACAAGCTATGTGGAAGAGCCAAAAACTCTCACGTCAGAGGCAAACAGTTGGCGCTCATATGACCTTATGCAGTTGCGAGCGCCGTAAAACCTCTACTAAAAAAAAAAAAAAAGAGGCAAACACCATTCCTCTTGACTTGGTGAACCAGCCACCAAATCTCATCCATGACATTCATGGGGTACGAGTTCTCTCAAAATATTTGAAACTAATGAAATTCTATAAAGGGGTAACACTTTCAAACCATGCATTTCAGTTTTAGTGTTTTATGGCACTTGCAACACAATAAGGTCATATAGGAGCCGAAAATTAGAGGTGTTACAAGAGAGTAATGAACACGAAAAAGAAGGAGGGGAGATAAAGACGATAGATGTTTGATAAGGAAAGAAGAAGCAAACCACACCAGAGCACCCGCCAACCACCCACCGAACCATACTTGATGTTACATCAAAACATGATAAGGTACAAGAACTTACCCGTAGCCATGATGACACAGTTGTCCTTCTTGTCATTGAGGACAGAATTTATGATCTTCCACTGCATCCTGGTAGCATAAGAATAAAGCAGATATTTAAGATTATATTAATTTCCGTTTAGTTTTAGTAAGAGTTTTACGGCGCTCGCAACTGCATAAGGTCACATGAGCGCCAGAAGATTAGAGGTGTTACAAGAGAGTAACAAACAGAAAAAAGAAGAAGAGGAGACAAGGATTATAGATGTTCGATAGAAAAGAAGAATCAAACCACACCAGAGCACCTGCCAACCACCCACGGTGAAGATTAGAAAATCACTTTCTCCAAAAAGAGTAAGAGATGGCCACACAAGAGAGTAATCCAACAGCACAGGGAATTAGGGGAAAAGGTACCAACCACCTCCCCTAAAAATAAAATATTTTAAAAATTTTTTTAAAAAGATAAAAAATTACAATAATGAAAATGTTCATTAAGACATTGATATGGAAAAGTGTACTTATTCAAATGCAAAAACATAGATAACGTACATGAAGGAGAGAGGGTAGAAAGAGAGGGTGGAGGGAGGGAGGGAGAGGGAGAGATTGAGAGGGAGGGAGGGAGGGGGACAGCCTGATTGACACAAATTTTGTCAGAACAAGAAGAGAACCAAAAGAAAATGTTTTCTATTAACATAAAAAAAAAGAAAAACAAAAAGAAAGTCAGAGGAATTACAATATCAATTCACTTAACACCACCAATAAATTTTAACTTGTCAGGGGTACCTGTATATGTACTAACACTGACCTCAAACAGAAAAAAGAAAAAGAAAGGTAACAGAGATACAAGTCTCAAACATTAAGACAAAAAGAACAGAAAACGCACTCAGTTGAACATCTCACCAATAAGTTTTTAAAGTGATATACTTTGCATACACTTCTTTCATGATAAGGTACTTACGGCCTAAATTTTGAATATCCAAAATACTGTTTCAGAACTTCCAAGTAAGATTTGTCACTTGGCTGATGAACGTCCTCTGGAAAGGGGAAAACAGAAGACAAGAGTACATGTAGCAAAACACTAAAGGCGTTCTATCATTTCCACAACAATCCCAAAGGGAGTCTTTTACATTTGGGGTTCAACATCATGCTTGAGATGAGATCTGGATTCAACTTTTTGAGCTCTGTAAAAACTAATCTATGTTATATGTCTGGCATTCGTAATGAGCATGGTATTCCAGCGGAGGAGTTCAGAGGTATTTAGACATTGGTCAGCTTTTCTTCTTTGGTAGGTCACACCTCGTCCACAGTGTTGGGGTCACAGCAGTCGGAACATGTCCATCTCTGCCCCCCCCCCCCCCCCCCCCCCCTCAGGATCCATCCCAGAGTCTGTCTGCTTATAGTGTCCATCATAATCTGGTTGGAGATCCGTCGGACTGGTCCGCACAGGTGGCTGTGTTTCCCTTCTCCACTTTGGATCCCCCTCTCCTTCAATCTACCTAGGGTGTGGGAACTGCTATCCGCCCTATTCTTCCTCAAATTTTCCTTCACAGCGGTTAGGACTGTTGGTGGGTCCAGTGTCAAATTCCCTCCCACTTTTTCCTACACCTCTGTAGGTGTTGTATCTGAATATCTTCTCAACTTGAAGATGAGAAAACAAAATTAAAAACAACAAAAACCTACCATAGGTTGCATACAAGGGGCAGCATCATTCTTGAAGCAACCTTTAGCGTCAGGCATACATACCTTTCTCTGATCTATTGACTCTATTAAATTTCAGCTGTTTGTGTGAGTTTTGAAATATTAACACAAGAGTACAAATTTTATCATTAGGGAATAAGATGAGATGTTTCAAGACATACCAAAGAACATTACAGACAAAGAAACGAAGAAGGTAGGCAAGATTGCAAGAGATAAACAGGCACATTTACCACTCAATGACAATAAAAACGTAAGAGGTGAATTGACAAATGAGAAGTCTCTCAAAATAATTGGTCCCATACACTCAAAGTTCATATCCTGAAAGAAACATTTACAGCATAAACAAAATACTGATGTCACATAAACAAAAAACTAAATCCAGTAATAAAAAGTTCAATACTATGTTAATGCCTACCCGATTCATCGTCTTCTTTGTACTGAAAAGTATCATCAGCCTCCTCAAGAGCACTTTTTTCAGCTGCCTCAAGTTCCTGGCAGGGAAAATTTGAACATATTGCATAAAAATATATAAAATGACAATATGTAAATAGTTTTAAATCACAATAAGTTACATATTTTCCTGAATTAAAATCATTTTCTAAGCTGAAAATACAGATATAATAAAATTTAATGAGTAGCATTCGTACTAACAAACAAAATTTAAAAAACACACTTGAACAATCTGACAGACTGGGGTCAAGAATCTGAGTATTGAAGAGCAATGAAAGAGTCAAAATATAACCTCTCTTCTGTTGCAAATATTATTGCAACAAAACAGCAAACAAGCGATATTATAAGGCACTGCGGCCTGCTAGGTGTGCACTCTGCTACCATGCAAATATAATGTTACTATGGATTGTCTAGCAGCACCTTTTTATTGTAGATTAAACTCACCAAAAAAAAAAAGGATTAATTTGCTTTTCCTGAGGATACAAACAACCTTTCCCGTTAACTCTTTCCGGACATAGTTTTTTTGGAGTCTAGACATAATTAACTTATGGCTCGATTTGGCTATGCAGGTGGTGTACAAAATAACTTCATAGAAGCATAACTATTACATATGATACATCAAATTGAAGGAAATTGAATGAAAAATACATCCCAACATGAAACAAAGAGGTTAATTTTGAATATAAGTATGCATTACAATGGTTAGAAATTGCGATAATGATGAGAAAAAGAAATTTTGACGGAAAAAAAAATTACATTCACCAAAATGTGAAGGCAAATCAGCATAGCTAACTTATCATATACAGGCCAAGAGCATAATCCATAAATTTCTGAATGCACAGCTTTTTATTTGAAAGCAATATTCCAATTTTTGTTTGAGTTATGATATTTATACTGAGTCCGGTTACATCGTTTTGTTGGTGCAAGACCTCAAGAACTAATTCACTCGTTTTTCCCCAAACCCACTCTTTGACAAAGTGAAACTAGATGTTCTCATTTCCGAAATCCTTTCCAAGTTTTTCAATAACAATAAAACGTAATTATAAATGACGGATCGTGTTAAAACGAAACAATACTGAGGTACCCTATCACAGCCGATATATCGGCAATATGTCCGCAAGGGGTGTGGACTCGCGCCAATACATCGGCCACACATGAGGAAAGAGTTAACTCTGAAATCAAACAAACAAGCTTTCAATTGCAAGTACTACACTTCACAGCTCGGCTGGAACATTACAGCTGTGTAAAAAAGTACATTGTCCATTATATGTTAATAATATATGTCAGAGCTAGCAGGATTGTATTTGAGGTCTGCTTAAGGCTAAAGCTGCAGTGTGAACTACCCCCTTTTTTTTTCTTTTTTTTTACGAATAATTATGGAACAACACCTTAATGTAACTAGTGCTACATTTCACACTTTAAGAGTCATTTTAATAAAAATAGACTTACCTCTAACATGTTCTCATCAAACTCAGAATCACTGGACATTTCATCATGTTCTTTATTTTCATTTGCGATATCTCCTAGAAGTCGTTCTTCCTCATCAGGATCAAAGTCAGGTTCAGGTGCCTAAGATGGTAATCAGAAACATTTCTTAAAGAACACAAGTTACAGAGGTTTATTTAGAGAAAGTAAATAGTAATAGAAAAGTTCTATATGCTCATCAACTTTACAGGAAAAGTTTCAAATTTCTAAATCACAGTATTTTACATACTTTCGGGAATTAAACCATTTTCTGAGCTGAAGAATGAGTGATTTCGTTAGTTTGAACAATAAACTGATTTAATAAATGTCTGAGCATGCAGCAAAATACACATTAATTCTTTACCTCCTGCCTTGTTCATACAGGAAAGACAAAGTTTCTTTTATACAATTCTCAAAGCCTCGTAGGTCATTGACTTGTCCTTAAAGAAACAAACACAACAGCTAAATTTACCCCTGGCCAAACATCTTCCTCGAGCTCTCCGTCCATAGACAACAGTTCTTCGTCTAGCATCACATCATTTTTCTTGCCATGGCAATTCACCTTTTCACTTGAAGTTGTTTTGGAAGTCTTGGTACTCATCCCCAAAAAATCATCAAAATCCAGATCATCGAAAGAATCGTACGCCTCCGAGTTGCCTGCCGTGGTCGGCGTATTTTCCTCACTGACTTTCTTTACTTGCTGAGTTGTCTTCCCACCTCCACCGCTGTCATCATCACCCTGCTTTTTACTTTCACTTTCAGAAGGTACAAGGCCTGAACATGACGCTTTATTAAAACCATGCTTTAAGCTTGAAATGTGGTTCTTACACAGGTCAACAGTCCAACTCGATTTTTCATCAATATTGCTCTCACTCTGCTGTTCAAGAAACCGAATGGTGTTATCTACATCCTCTCTAAGTTCATAGAGGGACTTTAGTAGTATCTGCTTGAGGTTCATCCTGGTTATGGTTCTGTCAGCAAACTCATAATTTTTTCTCAAAACCTGCCAGTAAAGAGAAATGAGAAGACGAATCATGTTAAGCCATTCCATATTTATTTATAATATGTTTATACACACACACACACACACACACACACACACACACACACACACACACACACACACACACACATGATATCAAAGGCACACAAGGAAAAACAAGGGATGACACTTTTTGGCATTTTAAGAATATCACAATTGAAATGCTTTACAGGCCACCCATGTATTTCCATAGGAAGTAGAGCTTGATCTTTTCCCAAACCCGATATTGGGCGACTCATCATAATTTAGCCCTGGACACTTAGATGGGCCAGAAGAGGTGCGTAAATACTTTCCAACCCTCTTCACAATTCAAATTAGCCCTAAACTGACATCCCTTGATGTGCCCTTCATATATATGTGCAGACAAATGGGACCAATATTGAAAGTGGGATCTAAAAATTTTAATCAAATCGATTTATAAGGAAAGCATGTAAAATTTAAACATCTTTTTTTAGTTTTAGTAGACGTTTTTCGGCGCTCGCAACTGTATAAGGTCATATGAGCGCCAAGGGGTGGATGTCAACAGAGAAGTCCTTACAGGGAATCAGACTTATTCTGCTCACCTCTCTAGCTTCAAAAGCACTAAGTCTGCTTCGACTATCAAGGCATTCCGGAAATAGCTGGTCACAAAAGTGTGACAAACAAAAACAAAAAAAGTGAGGAAAATAACGATAGTAAGGAGTAGGAAAGAAAAAGCAGCAGCTCCAAGTTGTAGTTCAGGCACAGTTATGAGCATGACATTGTTGGATCAGCCCATTTACAATTCTACTGTTCATTAGAACGAGAAATGTCCCCCCTTTGGGAATAGCCTAAAGACACAGTTAGTGGCACCGCCTGGGGGGGGGTTGACATCTACATTCCCCTACTTGGACGAATTGTACAGAACAATTTGCACTAAAAAAATTAATTCCATCTTTCAGACAACAAACATCCCTTGTTCCCTAAAATAAAAACATCAGTCAGAAGTAAAAGACCTAGGCTTCTGATCTGTAACAAAGAAAGATACAGAAGGTCATTTTTACCATCATCCAAAATTCTTCCATCTTAAACCATCTTGTTATAAGTATTCATATATAATGACCTTAGAGTGTGTATGTGTGTACCTGGTGAAACACCAAACCAATGAGCCAGGAACTGAACAATAAAGATGTATCTTACATTATTTTATAAACACTTTGCAGTCACACAGCCAGCGGTACAAAATACCTATAATACCCCATCTGGTCATCCAGCCAGGAGAGTGACTGCAACGGACTTCTCAAGCCTGGTGCATTGAACGGATACAGTAGTCTCCGCCTAAACACACGCTATACAAAAGCACGCTCCGCTCAAACGCATGCTTTCGTCATCTGGCCGTTTTTTTACTACATAATTTTGACGTACAAACGCACGGTCACTCCCTCTAAAAGCACGCTCCGATCCGCGAAACACGCTGACAGGTTAAGCTGAAAAAAGTGAAATCTGCACAGCTTGCACATAACGAGCCTAGACACATGATATTTGGTGAGAGTGCCCCCGCACGCTGAACAAAGAGAGTGATGGACAGCGTTTTCACACCCAACTTTCCACAGACTGTAATAGGTCTAGGACTGGTCTGTGAAATGTTGGGGGGGTTGGGGGACTGAAATGTTATTGTTATTTGATTGGTCACTGGAAAAGCTAAGCTGCATCTTTAAGAAGAGAAGGTTTCTGACTGGTGTTAGGGTGACCCCATGTAATGTTTAATTAGACCTAGCCCTATGATGCGCAACACGCGTGAATCCCGTCCATGAATTTACGATCGGGGGTGGTCTCTTGGAAAGCCACAAGGCTGGGCCATCGGCTCTATGACTATCCCTGACAGTTTCCTCTTATGCTATCTGTTCCCGACATTTTATGGTGCGTATCATTACATTGAGTCCCTATTTCTTACCCCCCC